CTCTCCAGATTAAACTCTTTCTAATCCCCGACTAAGACACGAAGAGATTTTCGATATATTTAATTGTGGATCTTATGTATGATGCAATAATGGTTAGAATGGCATAAGGGTATTAGAACGTAAAATTTTATGGGGACATTAAAGTTAAGTGGGAAATCCGAAAAGGAGTGATACAACCGAAGGCTAGCAGATGTCGGCGGTTTGATACTCAATTATTTACACTCTATAAAAAGGACATTATACGAGTATTAGAATATAAACCTCGAACTTGGGAAGACAGTGTTTATGATGTACGGGATCGATTAAAAACCTAACGTGGGATGGGTAGATAAGCAAAAGCTTTAGCACAAGTTAATATTAATTACATCTGTCTAAGAACAAATGGATTATCCAATGTGTTTGATTATCACAGCACGTACAGGCATGTCTTAGGGTAATTCGTAAAGCAGAGTCAATACTTCACGCAAATGTCATATTGGATCTGCCATACGGAGTCTTGTGACCCAAAAATAACCTGTATCATGGACTTACCTTTAATTAACAATCGTAAATGAAACAGATGCCAAAACCCCTGATGCGTCACTGGAAGCCTGGATATTAAATAATAATATCAGTAATTGAAAGTAATAAAAGGCAAGTAGGTACAAAAGCAAGTTAGCACCTATGCCGAATAAAAGTTCTGAAAATCTGAAAAGCAAGTAAATTCGTACTATTGTCTTGGGTCTCATCTTGTGTCACTTGTGGTGAATGGTCGTACTTGAATTCGTGTATGTGGTGATGTTAGTTATTTCGACTATGCATTTGCGTGTTGTTCCCACGAGAATGTAAGTAACCTATTTCACCATGCCTCCTGCTGATAGAGGACAATTCTTTGTTTTTAATTTATTTTGTTATTATTTATTACTTAAGATGTCATGTGGAACATGGTGTAATGGTTGCAGCTCCTTACAAACGTTGTGTAAAACAAAAAACTTGGCGATTAAAAAGAGTGGCGGAGACTTTATTGCCAGTTCTACGCCCTTGATTTGAGAACTGGCAGTAAATGTAAAATTAGAAGCATTTCATATATATATACTGCTCAAAACAATTAGCGGAACAAGATTTTTCTCCTTTCTATTGCTTAAACTAAAATTAGATTTAAATTAACTTGTACGCTATTTTTTACCTTGTTAATTACTACAATTAATAAAAAAATCAATTTGTATTTTTTTTATTAAAAAAAAATTAAAATGTGCATTGTAGACGAAAAACAAAGTGACGTCTTTGAATTTTCATTACTTTCTAATCACAGAAAAACACATTTTAAGTAGTTTTTTCAATCTTTTGAGTATTAATAGAAATTGAAGTGAGCCTTTTGAGTATTGTTATTCATTGGAAGCGAGTGAGTTTAGGTCATAATGCCAGATCTGACTGAATTGCATGTCTCCCGAGCTATCGCTTTGCTTGAAGAGGGTCGAACTATGCGTTATGTAGGAAATGATTAGGAGTAGCCCCTTCTGTTATCTACAGACTTTGGAAGCGATACCGTGAGACGGGAGAATACTCACGAAGGCGTGGTCAAGGTCGAAAGAGAAAAACTACACGTTTGCAAGATCGCTACATCGTCAACTGTGCTTTACGTACTGCAAGAGATCTACAAAATACACTAAGGACGGCTACTGGTGTAGAAATTTACGACCAGACGGTAAGAAATAGGTTGTTGGAAGCCAATTTGAGATCACGCCGACCAGTTGGGCTGTGCGTCTAACAATTCAACATAGAAAGCTCGCCGACAGTTCGCGCAAAATCACGCTAATTGGCAACTTCGACATTGGAGGCAGTGCTTTTTATGACGAATCACGATTCCGTCTAAAGTTGCCGTCCTTAGGTATTTGTAGATCTCCTGAGTTGTAGTGCGGTTACGTAAAGCAAGTTGACGATGTAGCGATCTTGCAAACGTGTAGTTTTTCTCTTTCGACCTTGACCACGCCTTCGTGAGTATTCTCCGTCTCACGGTATCGCTTCCAAAGTCTGTAGATAAAGAAGGGGCTACTCCTGGATCATTTCCTACATAACGCATAGTTGACCCTCTTCAAGCAAAGCGATAGCTCGGGAGACATGCAATTCAGTCAGATCTGGCATTATGACCTAAACTCACTCGCTTCAATGAATAACAATACTAAAAGGCTCACTTCAATTTCTATTAATACTCAAAAGATTGAAAAAACTACTTAAAATGTGTTTTCTGTGATTAGAAAGTAATGAAAATTCAAAGACGTCACTTTGTTTTTCGTCTACAATGCACATTTTAATTTTTTTTTAATAAAAAAATACAAATTGAATTTTTTTTATTAATTGTAGTAATTAACAAATTAAAAGGTAAAAAATAGCGTACAAGTTAATTTAAATCTAATTTTAGTTTAAGCAATAGAAAGGAGAAAAATCTTGTTCCGCTAATTGTTTTGAGCAGTATATAATTATATATATATATATATATATATATTTGACGTTCATAAGTGTACCTTGTGTTACCTATATTAATAAATGATTTTTAACTTTGACAGTGGCATTTAGTTTAATCATGAGTTTCACAGTATGAAACGCATTCGTCTAAATAACCTACGTTCGATTTGTATAAATATTAGCCATAATACTGCGATTTTACTCCTGAGTAAATTAGGCGGTCAATTCTCTGTCTTTCCTCAACTACTTTTCAAAACAATTATTTCACCGAAAATTTTGCAGTGGAGCATTTATTTGTATATTTATTAATGCTTCTTGGCGTTATCTAATAGACAACTAATCGTATCAATATCCTTTAATAGTATATTTAATCCTAAGTTCTATGACTTTAAAGTTATTAATTAAATAATATTTTTTCTTTCAACGCGAAAAATCCCGTCGTCTATGTTATTTTTTTTATATACACAAAATTCTGTGTCTACCAACCGAAAATACCTACTTATTTAAGGAGTCTAAGATTAAGATTCACAGTCAAGACTTATAGACTAGACTTATATATAGTATACTTAAACCACCAACTTTACCAAAACTGCCGCGCTCGTACTGCATATACCTATCCACTTTTCCTTCTTACTTAAAATATTTTTCTGTATATTTGCGTGCGACAACAGTCGTGGTCATCGATAGACTTTTACGTGAAGTTCCTTTTTTAATTCGCCTTTATATTTTTTGTCTTCAATATTTAATTCCCATAGTAAAACCATTAAGCGGCGATATCTAGTAGATATTTATAATCCACCGTGCTCAATCGGGCAGCTTTTATGGCGTCCTTGACTCAGTCACGGCAAATATCAGTATTGGGTAAAAAATCACAGGTAGAGGCAAATATTTGTGAACAATTTGTTGAATTCACACTTAATAACAAGATGAAGGCGTTTTTTTAAATCTATCGGCGGCGATTTCAAAGGAAATATATGGGCCACGTGATCGTATCGCATAGGGTTTTTGGATAGCATCAGTTTTGACACAATAGGTCTAGAATAATTATTGATGGATTGCAATGCAATACGCTTTCTGAAAGTGATCGTGGGTACTGTTGACTAAGCTTAGCTCTTAATTTATTCTTTAAAATGGTAGATATGAAAAACGTAATGTTTTCCACCTCTGGAAATTATGACAATTCTTGACAAATTAGCAAACAAACAAAAATATTTGCAATACAATTTCACAACTCAAATTTGTCAGGAAATGTATCACATTGAAAATGTGAAAATCACTGTAAATTTCCGCCATTATTGTCGTAGCTAAAGCGTAGATGCTTACTTTCGTAGCGTTCATTATATATTGAAAATTATTTCGTAGAAGTTTATTAGATAAAATATATACTAATCGATAGCTGGATATAGGTGTTGTAATTTCTTTTTTATTTATTACTAATTTGAAAACTCTAAAACATGTTTAAATAACTGAGGATGATGATATGATTTTCATTGTTATATAACTTACACACTAACTAAAATAAGCTTTATAGAATATTTATGGCTTTATGAACTTATCAATAAATAATTAACAAACTGAATTAAATTAAATTAGAGGGTTTCTTAAATATTCAATTCATTCCACACTAAATTATTTTGAATATAGACTTCAATTTGAGGTTATGTATTGTCTAAATGTTTTTTATTTAAAAATACTCTGTTCATTTTTTTTTATTTAATATCGTGAAAATGAATATTAACAGAAATAGAGGAGGTGTTTTCTTTAGATTTTAATAGAATTAATTAAATAACATTGATAGCATTTTAGTATAAATTAAATACATATATTGATAGCTAGGCGATTTGTGAGGCTCTTATGTAAGTTGTGTAAGAAAGTTCTGAAACCGATTTCATAGGAACATGCTTTCGCGCTTAACGTTGATTTTGAAATAGTATATATACCTAGTCAAATCAGCCAACATTGCCAGCCTCTTTTTTATGTTTGCTAAGGCTTAAAGGTCTTGATGAAAAAGTCAGATAGAGAGCTTCTAAGAAACGGAAAGCTAACATATCTAAAACATTTAAAAAAAAATGTAATATCAGAAATCTTCTTGTATTTTATGTCTTTCTTGCTTTTACTTTGCAATAATAAGTATTTCATTTTAAGAACTAAACCTAAGGCAGAATCCTTTGATTTCCCGATATTGTAACAAATCAGACCATAACGATCGGCCTGAACGATTCCAACATTCTCTCTCAACACCGCTAAGTACTACTTCTTTAATCATTGCAATTTCGAAACAAGCTCAAGTGTCGGTGTCGAATAAATTCTGAATAATGTAAACGTGATAACAATTTAAATTCTTCTGTAACGGGTCTGGAGCCGACAAAAACAACAAACAAAGTGCCGCGATGGCGATTGGTTCTCTCAGCGAAGGGAGGCGTCTGGGTCTCCGCCCCGCCCGAAACTAGCGCCACCGCTTGCTCGCTCAACCAGTCCTTATCTTCCATTAACTTGTGAGAGACGTGCTGCCTGAAAACAATAACAACGTGAACATTAAAACGTTTCAGTGTTAAATTATGCCTCGACCAACTCGTGAATCGTATGGAGACCAGAAACCACCGTTTTCATACATCGCACTGACAGCCATGGCCATCTGGAGCTCACCAGAGCGCATGCTGCCACTATCAGAGATATACCGGTTTATCACGGATCGATTTCCATATTACAGGAGAAATACTCAGCGTTGGCAAAACTCTCTGAGACACAACCTCTCCTTCAACGATTGCTTTGTGAAGGTGCCGCGCCGGCCCGACCGACCCGGCAAAGGTGCTTATTGGACTCTTCACCCTCAAGCATTTGACATGTTTGAAAATGGGTCACTTCTCCGCAGACGTAAGAGGTTTAAGTTGCACAAAGGTGATAAGGATAGTTTGAATGCGGAGTTGGCAGCTCTAGCCACTTTCAACCGAGCATTTCTAGCAAGACAGGCGAGTTCAACGCCTTCATCAGGGATGACTAGTATGTATGCACCACAAGTGGCGTTATGTTCAAGACCTAGCCCGGATCCAATGGATGGTCCAGACACGGCGGCGTTGTTGCCGGCGGGACCACGGCCGCGTCGGGCATTCACTATAGATGCACTTCTAGAGCCTGAACCCCGGCAGACCTCACCTTCGCCACCTTCTCCTCAGCAGCCCCAGCCACATTACCCTATGCCACTACCAGCACCGTATCTACTAGCCGCTCAAAGATACCACGCAGAACTCTTGGCTGGCCTGCAGCAGTCCTGTCTACCACCTCTCTGGACATGGCGAGATAGCCAGTTCTCACATTATACGCTTAATTCATGAATGGTGGGTATACCGATTTTAAGTCACTTTTGTCAACTAAAATTTATTTGAACGTTGTCTTAATGCTAATACAATCCTATTGTAATGTAGGTACAATTCATTCATTAATCAATTAATCAAAGTTAAATCTCTTATAACTGTAGTTGAATAGAAATAAGTCAAACTTCATAAGTATCTTCTTTTTCTTTCGTTCTCAAAGTTTCTTGATAGCAATTAGACATTGAATTTTTATTCTTTACCATCCTACAACAGAGGTTGCTTTTGTATTCAAGTGGATGGATCTTTCATGCCTTTAAATTCAAAACAATCCAATTCCGCGGACTTTCAATAAATAAAATCTATCTGCATTTTAAATTTTTTTTCGAAAATAGTTGTATTGTACACAGGGCCGGATTTAGAGGTTTGTTGCCTCAGGGCAACAAAGGAGTGGAGACCCCCGGCCCCGTTTATTTTCCAAATAAAATGAAGAATTTTTTTCAGTTGAGTTTTTCTATTTTAGTATTTAACAAATATATCAAAAGAAATGTTGTTTACTAGTCGGAATATAAAAAAAACATTCCGAAGTCTCTATTGTGGGGGGCCCTCTTTTGTGGGTGCCCTCCCCTAAATCCGGCCCTGGATTCTGAACACACTTTTAACTCCCGGTTTTCGTATCGGTGTTGACTCATTCTAATAAACAATAAACTACAAGCTCCCACTTTTCAGAATGCCAAATCATAAATTACTGCTTCACGACTGATTTGAGAGCGCCCGATGCGAAAACCATGTGTGAGTTGAAAGGGGGAAAAAAAAAACCCAGGGCTGATTGAACACATAACTCGATGGTGTCACCCCAAATGTGGCCAAACATTAGTAATCAAATCCTAAAATTTACTGATCGTTAGAGGCACTTGAATAGATTTGTTTTGTGGGGTTGATCCCTTGGCGTTGCGTAAAGATGTGGGGTCTCTCTGCATCTTCTACCGCATTTACCATGGATAGTGTTTAGAGGTGTTGTTCGGACAGTTGCAGCTGAGTTTAATAATCGGACATAGAGGTAGTATACGAAATTCCACCCGTTTCACCTTGACGTCCGTCGTTCCACAACTGAGCGTTGTTTAAGGCAGTTTTTGCCTCAAACCACCACTATGTACCTACTGAAGTACATCCGAACAAATGCCAATTCTTAAAAGGCTGGAAACGCTCCCGCGAGCCCTCTGGCATTGAGAGTGTCCATGGGCGGTGGTATTATCTAACATCAGGTGAGCTACCTGCCCGATTGCCTCCTGTTTTATATAAAAAATCAGACTTTGATGACAGGTAGATTAACGACTTAGGTTAGTGGTAACTAGACACTGTGACTGGGTAAAAATATTTTTAATTAATCCGTCACAGATACCTCATACTTAATCTAACTTCAGCGATAATGAATTCGATGTTTAGTGACAATTTCTTGAAGACCACGAAATGTTTAAATCATGTTTAACTCTTAAAAAAAAACAATTTATAGCTCAAGGAACTAAAATCAATACTGGTCATAACAATAAGGTTCCTCGAAATACTCTGAATATCTCTTTACCAAGATTTAATAGTCATTCTTTTCTTTCCAGGTATCACTTCGCCTAGTTTCAAGATCTCAATAGTTCTAGTGTTAAGAAAATGTAGAGGCACCTAACGCCATGTGTTATATAGTTTTGAAGAGGGCAATACAGTGACTATTTAAACAAAATGTGAACATTCCTATTTACTGTATGAGGTTTTTTAATATAAAGTAAATTAGCTATGAAAGGCGAAAACTTGCAAGAATTTTCAAGATTAAATTGGTAAGTTAATAATAACTCATTAAACCTTCATGCACATTCAATACATGTTTGGCATTGTTATCCACATCTAATAATTTCTGGACTACGGTTTCTTTATTTTCTAGACATACAATATAAATAAAAATAAAAGGATGCCTTCAATAGTATCAAGCGCGTGCGTAGAACAATGATTTTAGAAAAGATTGTGTACAATGTAAAAGAGTGTATATGAAGCGGCTGCATTGATTGTTGTACATGATGTAGATTATTCAATCCTTATTGATTACATGTAATAGTACTATATCTTGGATTGTATATATTTAAAAAGCCTATAAATAGTGGTGTCTTCGCTATTTTATAACGGCGCATAAACATATTAGTCGCTTATCCACATTATTACTTCATACTATTTTACTTAAACATAAAAATCAAGAATGTGCAGAATTATAATGTTTATTTTACAATTATAATCCATAGATCTTAAATTAATTAGTTACTTTTTATTGACTGGGTGAAAGATTCAATAGATAGACGTACATAGACATTAGTAGAAATGAATCGGTCATCCTCAGATTTCAGATTTCGACCTACTTTGACACTTGAAAAATTCATAAAAATCTACACGAATTTACTACTTTGAAAAGTATTATACAGGTAATGGTGTAATACCTTTTCAGAATCCCTATTAAATGCGCCAAAACTTGTAATACAGGCTCACTTTTCGGTAGAGTAATTTTTTTCACAGTGGGGTCCGAAGTAAACAAAAAGTTATGATTTGAAAAAAATTTATATCGTATAACTTAATATTATCTTCAATACACTAAATAAACAACTATAAATAGTATGTCTAACGCAAGAACTTATCAGTACCAATCTAGTGGATATTATGAAAAAGATACAACATGTAGATTTTTCGAATTTTAATAAGAATTAGTCAAAAAAGTCGATTTTCTTATAAAAACGCAAAATAAATTACAACTCTGCAGGGGTTGATCTTAGAGACCTCCCGTAGAACAATTTTTGCAGCTGATGACCTCATCTATCCCCTATTTGCGTTTGATCCACGACTTTTTGGCCACCCTGTATATAGGCGAAAATTACACGGAGGACTGAAATGTTAGAAATTGACTAATAGCATTTTAGTACAAAACGTTATTTACCAAACAAAAATATAAAACACAGTCATTCATAATTTTTTCACGTTCTGAGGTTGTGTTGTCGTTCCTCGGCCTGTTTCGGTTGTGCATATTTTTTTTTCAATAAGGACATCATAAGGACGCAGTAAATTTCGTGTATAAAAGTCGAATCGGAACCACAATGAGATGAACCAGATCTTATTTTGATACATTTTTGTTATTAACAAGATTTTTAAAACCAATTTTCGAGAATTGCAACAAAAAATAAAATATTAATAATAACGCTACTTTAATTCAACACTGTAAAATGTACAATAGGTGTTAGTCAGTTGTTATTTCCACTACTTCGTCTTCCCTTTTTGGTAAAGGCCTTCTCCTGAACTTTCCATTTTGATCTGTTCTTAGCTTTTTCCATATCTCTCCAGAAACCTTTATGATGTCGTCAGCCCATCGCTTTTGTGGTCTTCTCGACCCATCGTTTCTCTTTCCTGGAGATTATCTCCAGCGGATGGCTTCGGCGGTCCATCTTCTGTACATCTGGTCATGTGGCCAGCCCATTTCCATTTCAGCTGTGAGGCGTGGGTTTGCGCGCTTTTGCCTTGATCTGGTCACTTCGCTTCGTAAAAAACGAAAAGAGCCCTGGGCAACGTTAAATATCTTAGCAAAAGTAGGTACCCCCAATAAATAAAACTGCAAAACGTTGACATATATGCGTTCGTCTATAACCAATTTAATTTATTGTATTGGCACTGAATATAGTTAAAAATGATCAATGGTATCTATAGGGTTAGTAAGTCAGTTAAGAAAATTCCCATTCCTAGAATTATATACCCGTACTTCAGTAGTAAAACAAATAATATATATAATTTTTTGAAACATTTAAGATTCTGTTGCGCTACAACGAGTACTTGAGTATTGCCGTTGTATTTCTTTGATTTATATACTATAGTTTTGTAGACCTACAGATAATAAACGATTAATCACGTCCAATTCTCATAATTTCGTAAAACCACAGTTGATAGAAACTTGATTTTTAGTTGATTTAATTAACAATGTAAATATCATAGCTTAAATTAACACAGCGCGTTTACACGAGAGATAATCAATATTTCTTGTAAATTATACTTGCATTCACGGTTTGATCAGAAATATTTTATTTCAGGAAATGTTAACGCCAGCAGAAACAATGGAAAGCCCCAACTCTCAAATAATTACTTTTTTGTTATACTTCGTAGATTTTGAATCTGTGATATTTCTGTTAGTTAAAATGTAAATATGTACAGCTACCTGTAATTATAAGTAATAACATATTAATTTATTGTAATCGTAATAAAAAGAAAATATAATGTATGTGTTAACCATTTCTAGTTTTAATTAAATTTTACCATTTATTACACTGGATTCCCACCTTTAATTAAAGATATAATCGGACAAATTATGCTTTTGTGTAGGATATGTAATTGATATGTATGTTTGTAATATTGACTGATTTAGGCTTAGTGGTTTAACCTACATGGCGTATAAACCGGAGTACCTGAGCTCGATTAAAACAATAAACTAACAATAAACAACAAGCTCCCACCTTATCAGAATGCCAAATCATAAAATGACTGCTTCACGACTGATTTGAGAGCGACAGCCGATGCGAAAACCGCTGTGTGAGTTCGAAAAGTGAGTTACAGAATCGCAAGGCAGAGCTCGATTCAGATAAACCAAATAGACACAAAAATATTCCTTGGTTTATGGGACTTCAAACATTTGAACTAAGCACAAATGTTTCTTTTGAATTTGAAATGAAATGCTTTTTACATAATTAATAAAGCTATTTATTTGTGATTTCATATAATTATTACTAGTTTTATTATTATCGTCATGCAAAATGTATTAATTAGAATGTCTTTGATTTCAATGTTTAAGTACTTGACATCTTTACTTATGTGGCTTCATCCTATAGGCAGGATATTAAGGAAAAGAAAGACATTAGGATTTGGAATATTCTTGATAAACTATATTTCAAAATGGTAACGGCAACTTTACCTAGATACTATTGTAAACTAAAAAGTTACATTGCCTTATCCTTCCTTAATTTAGTAATGAGGCATTTAATTTAATGCCTACTTACTTAACGATTGATTGATTTAACATGTGCCGTTCTTTAGATATATAATATCGTTATAATTAAATGTGAACTCTAGAACACCAAAAAAAAATATTAAATTACTGAAATAGTTTACAAAATATTTTTACATTCAAAACAAATTAGTCTCATTGCTTTGAAGCTTATAATTATAGAAGAATAATAGTTAATTATGAAGTATGAATGAAGCTTGGGATACTGTAATGGACGTTTCTGAGTGGCTGACTCTGGGTATCTAGGTATATAAATTAAAATTAATCGCAAAATATGTTGCTAAACGCAAAACTCGAAGGCGGATGGATCAATTCGAATAGTTTTCTTTCTATTTATTCCTTGAACTCTGAGGAAGGCTTTTATGGAGAAAAAAATTGGACAATTTTTTTTTATCTAGTACTTAGGTTTTTATACCGGAAAAGCAAACAAGGGATAGCAATACGTTCCATATGTTGGTATGTAATGTTGGTAGGCTAAGTTAAAAAACATATTTAGGCGAAGACGAAACGTTCGCGAGGGCAGCTAGTATACAATAGAATCTAAAAATACTGACGGGTCACTGTCCGTTAATATCGATATTCTATTAATTATATGATATGATAAGTAAGAAAAACACCCAAATATCTATGAGTAGCGTTAAGAAGGAACCGCGTCAATACAAGACAAAAGACTGACCTGTGAGACAAATGTTTATGCTCCATATGAGTGTTGCAACACACACTTATTTATACACATACATACATCATAGGCTTTTATTTTTCTTTATTATGGTTTAAAAATTAACACTAATATGCATAGGCAGTAAATAGATAGGCCCATTGAAAGCTCAATACATCGGCATAGCTCAAAGCGATATGTTACGGCACGTAACAATGCAAACATGGTCTCTGTCGGCGCGGGCGCAGCGGTGTCACAACACACAATTGCCGTCTCTGGCGCTGCACCGAACCTAATCGCGCACAATGCATCTTGCGCCGGCTCAAAGCCAACGAGACAAAAGGTCTGTGTGCGGGCGGCAGTGACAGTACCGGATTCCCTTATAGTTTCGTAATCAAAGCTTAATGTTTAGTGAGTTTTCTTTCAGGAAGAAAATCCAAAACATTTTCGTACTTTCAAAATTCAATTTATTTTTATTCTTTATTCAATAACAAGTTACATTGTTTTGGCCTGAACTAAGTCTAGGGAGACCTGAACATCAGGGTACTCAAATTATACTTACTACGGGTATTAAATTATATTCATTCAGCCACAAATTGTAGGTTGTCCTAGTAATTCGTAGTAAGTTCAAAATATGTTATTTATATTTGCATAATAATAATCCAGTGGCGCTGCAATCCTATTTGACTCTTGGCATCAGATTGTATCCGTTTCTTTGATAATTGTTATTACATAGACAAGTAGGTGACCAGCCTGTCTGACAAGATGTAATTGATGTTTGGATTTAAGACGAGGTCTCACGAGGTCTTCCTTTAAGATATGCAAATAGATAGAAAGTCCGTTGGTGTAAAAGCCGGGGCTCGAATCTACGACCTCAGGGTTGAGAGTTGTATGCTGAGCAAGTAGGGCTTCACTGCTTTTAATTGTATAAATCACTAATTACGAGTATGCATTAATTAATGTCATCATGTAAAATATAAAATAACGAAAAATCCCTATAAATTTTCATGTAACTTAACCTAACGTAAAAATTAAATGAATTTTGACACCATGATAAAATGTGCATACGTTTAACACAGCAATGATAAAATCATAACAATCTCGGCGCAGATTAATTTAATTTCCATATACAAAGTTGTGATAGCGTCATCTCAAAGTAATACGGGTGTGATAGTTGATACCAATTGGTTGCGAAGTTGATTCGTCGGCGTCTATTAATCTGTTCTCTATAAGACGTTAACGTCTGATCAATCCTTTCCATTGAAACAATCTCTAATGCGTTGCCGGCACAGATAAAATAAAACGGTAGAACCATAAACATTCCACACATTCGACCTCTGCCGGTCGAACCCGTCTGTCCCGTTCCCTCCTGGGTGTTCTATCTCTTTCCCCCTGCGCCGAATCGTCTGCGGACTCCATGTTTCTCTCAAGTTAGATTCAAGATAAAATGGAGCTCATAATGTTTTAACAGTTTCGACGTTTGAAAGGCAGCCGATGGCCGATTTAATTTTCCTCCCCGGGTTAGTTATAATTGAGTCGATTCGTTCAACGTACTAAAGATGGAGCGGGAGTCCGCCACGGAGTCTACGTAATCGATTCACGTTAATTGATTCATTTATTATCCTGTGACGGCAACTAGAAAACAAAAGATTGTTAATGCATTCTTAAAATATTAATTAATATTATAGCGTTCGTACCATTTCTGGTCCCATATAAGTTTGCAGCTACAGTGTGATCAGTAACATGATTTGATTATTCTATTTTGAAAGATTTTTATATGAACATTAGAAATGCTGAAATTGTTTCAATCCCCGTTTCTTACCTTGTAACCAAGTACTTGTACTTTAAAAGGACCTCCTCCTTGAGAGGCCAATACAATAAGTTCATTGCTCGGTCACTCTTTTGGTACATAAGAATGTCGATATAAATTCAATGTAACAAGTAAGTAAAGAAACATCGTCAAAGAATAGAATAAAACCATGTTCTATTGTATTACATAATTTAGGAATTTGTTTAAGGAAATTCGTTCCAGCAAGCACAAAGGAAAAAGTAAATTTTGCAATGTAACTATCTTACAGAATGGAATTAGTCACAGAGGCCTGCGACAAAGACCCACGTTCCAACGCCACCTACAAGAGAGCCGTCGGCATCACAAAGCTGCTCAACATATACAAATAAATAGTCTCTCAACAAATATTTTAATAAGCACCTTGAATTGTTCAACGTAACAGAGTCCATGCCGCACTCTCACCTGGACCGTATCACTAAACCATTTTACGCTTACATCACCTTACAATACGTACCCATATCGTGTAACGGTGACAAACTCTTAACTTACCATGAACAAGAAGGCCACGGACATTGCGAGCAGAATGTAGTTTTTAACATAAAGTTTTATGAGCCCTTTGGAAAATTGGAAAAGGTGAGCATGAAATGTGGCAGATGGAAGCAGTAGATAGTGTCGGACGGCTGCCCGTCGTCCAATATATCGGGCTAAATAAATAACCTTTACATCTGGCACGAGTGTTTCTTCGTTACTTTGTGATAAATTATGTGTTCCTGTTAACCTTTACCTAAATTATAACTTTTATTAATAAATATAAATAGGCCTATTGCAAATGCTTATTTATTAAAGCGCACCACTACAATTTAAGTTACAATCTAATGTTCTAAAATACATGAGACTTACGGTGGACAACAAATATACAAAAACATTAACATTTCCCAATAAAGAGGAAAATAATATTAACTTTAGCTTAACCATTACTTATTTATAGCGAATACCTGTATAATATGTGTTTAACTATGATTTTGTTATAAATTGAGCTCTGAATGAGTAGCACTCATTATATTGTATTTGTGAAGAATTTGAGTTTACTATCTACTTTGACGAGAGATAGCAGGTTGAAATGGACAAAAATAATTACAGAATGGCAACCACGTGATGGAAAAAGGAAAAGAGGAAGACCGACCAAGAGATGGGCAGACGATATTAAGATAATAGGAGGCACAACTTGGACAAGAAGAGCTAATAACAGAAAAGAATGGAAACAGCTGGAAGAGGCCTACGTGTCACAGGACACGCTGATTACCAAAAACGGGTCATATGATGCATTAGATTAAGTTTTATTTTATTTATGTGTTAGAATTAAGTGTTTTTTATGTAACTTAAATAATTGTATGGGTGTCAGCAATAAAGGCTAATCAATCAATCAATCAATCTACTTATAATGTTTAATCAACGAAGTAACAATAATGACAATGGTTTTTTTTTAAAACAGGGCGTAAATGAGCACATGAGGAGCCTCACTTGATGTTAAGTGATACCGATCCCCATTGACACTTACACTGTCTGAAGGCTCGCAAGTGCATTACTGGCTTTTTAAGAATTGGTACGCTCTTATCTTGAAAGATCCTAAGTGGTTCTGAAATACTTCTTTTGCTTTCACAAAGTGTTGCGTGGATTTTTTATATTTTAGTAATGTTAGACTTGTCGGTTCGTTATTTTATTAACAACACTACCTAAAGAAACAAAATTACTAATTCTAAAAATAAACTCAATTACTAATTGCATACTATTACGGACTAAGATACTTTAATAAACCATGTTATATTTCCTAAAATTAAACTTGATTAATGACATCCGCAAATCTAACAGATTGCAGAATCAAAACAAGAAATTCCTAATGCTAGAAGGTCGAACGATTTTATTTTACGTGCCGAGTGATTAATACCACATTTTGCTTAACCAAAAAGTAAACATATTAATAAGTAACCTACAGCAACTAGACCGCTAATTATAATAATTATACAGGTTTAGGATCCCACTCTAATCCGGATCCGAAGCGGCGGAGTATAAAACCAAAATTTATTGCTCACGTATGAGACTATAACTAGTTGCAGCTAGTTTACAAATTATTTTATTATAATTACTCCCTTTTGATCATGGCGTCCCGAAGGAATAGCGTGGAATATGACGAGATATACTGTTGATATTCTTTAAATTAAATAACTGAAATTATAGTGTGTCCTTTTTAATTGTCTACATATGTAATTGCTTCGTATTGTTACACTCTTTATATATAAGCAATTGTTTATCTTATGTAGGTTTGCACTTCTTGCGGTCATCTTATTAAATTTTTTTCCTTACAGTGGTTGCTTGGATGTGATCACTCGAAAGCAATAAGCCGCCCGTTGCCCTCCTGTTTATTAAATTATTTTAATTGTTTCTTGCAACTAAGTATAAATAAATAATTAGGATGTTTTAGGTACCTACGTAAAAACATAGGTACTATAAAATTACTTCTGAATACATACAGTAGGACTCCAGATGGTATATAACTAGCTTATAAAGTAAATAAATCATTAAAATTAATCTTCATGATATACGATAAAAAATAATTTCACTATGAAGTTATTCTATAAAGTTGATATAAGCACTATAGTTATATCCAAACATGATCGTTTGTGATAGTTACTAAAGAAATCTGCATGGTCAGAACAAAGCTATATTTAGCTATACGTAGTATAAAGCAACTACTAAATATGTAGCGACACTAACAAAATATCATTGCGATGACATACCCAGCCAGTCAGTGGTTACACTGATCGAGGGTCCTAAATTTAGGTGGGATGAACAGTTCTCCATCCTCCCTCCACAAATATAACTTTTTTTTTAATTTTTTGAAGTTTTTCTGTCAAAATAATAAAGAACCAAAAGGCTCTCCAATCAGTAGAGCACACCGATATTAATTATGAATATAAAACGGAATTCTAATTAGCTACGACGTTTTTACGATTCCGAATACATAATTAATGTTATAAAGTTTATATTGTCGGCTACAGAGATACAGGTAGTTTGTAAATGTAAATAATTAAATTGCTTGATTTAAGTCGTTTAATTAAGACGCAGCCATTAATTTACATAATTACAAATCTTGACATTGTAGCAAACAACACTAACAAATTACAAATCAATCTATAATTCATGTTTTGACGCATTTTTATATATACTTTTAAATATCAAGGAGAAACGATTATTTTATCTGGTTTATATATTTTTGTAATACTATAAAAGCTTTAGTAATGAATACTATTATATAAATGTTCAAGTGTGTATCGCTACGTACAGAAAGTGATTATCTAGGTTTGTAGACTCCCGATAATCAAATCAATTTCCAAACAAAATAAAGGATTACAGATTTGTATACGGGATTGGTACCCAATTATTTTTCCAAACTTAATATTAAAATATTAATAATAATAATAAAACCCGTCTATTTCCAGTCTTTACAAATGTTGAATATACAGTTTAGATTCGTTATAAACCCTGTTATTGATCGGAACCCCTTCACGGGTAAAGACCTCCTCCAGGTTTTTCCAAATATCCATGGCTTACTTGCCAACTTACTTATCCAATATGTACTGTAAAGATTACTCTTTATTTAATAATTGTATGCTTACGACGTTGACACTAATTTAGCTATAAATATTGTGAGAATTTTGAATACCAACTCTAGGTTTTTCTGACACGATTCCTTGTACACGCGAACAAAGTAGCGCAGTATATTTTTCATAATAGAAAGTATTTAATAGAAATAGGAGTAAATTGTTTTTCACTGGTTAGGTATCGCGGTAAGGCACGACCTACAACTGTAGCGGCAAAAACAAATGGTAATACTGCTATTATAGCGGCGACAACAAAGACCCAATCTCCCGAGAATGCGGATAACAACCCAATTTGTAAGTTGAGTTTCTTGTGATACGTAAAATTATACTGATATAATACATTCATCGTTATAAGTTCACTATAATGAATAAAAGTAAATTAAAAACAATTGAATACATGTTTTAACCCGTAAAACTGAAATAATGTATAAAGAATACCAATTCTCAATGTCCACATCACCGTAGAAATATTTTTTTCCAATTAAAACTCTTCGTACCAACAAATAAAATAAGCACGTAATTAACACTCAAATCCCGAGACAAACAATAATAGCCTCTCTTAATAGCAACGCTTACAAACACCGCTCACAAAATGCCCCGCTTTCATCTCACAGAGTTTTTCGCGTCTTTTTGGCCCCAAATCCATCAATTCATGTGATGGATGGACCGCTGGGCTGGCCGGGCAATCCAAATTCAAATTCGCTAAATCTTCTCACAGTGCTATGAAAACAGGTTGGGTCGTTAACAGTGTACGCGAGATACCTTTGAAGGTTATCCCGGAGAGGGATGCGGGGCGGGGGAAGGACAGGATGCGTCTGGCCAGACTCACAGGCTACAGTGATTACAGCCTGCACGGGGCTAATCATATTCATACAAGTATCTAACGAGTGTTAATATTAATATGAACTATTTATTTAATGTAGGTACATTTGCTTTTCTTTTATTTTTAAGTAAATAATATTTATTCAAGAGCCACATTTTTAAGATTATTATGGGCAGGAAGTTTTTCTAATATGCTAGGTATCTCGCCGGTGGTTTAAAAGGTTGTACTTGATTTCTTAAAAACAAGCATCTTAAGTGATATTGGTTCTAAAATGACTACCAAGGCTTTAAAAATTCAGGATAATTTTATAGACAATTTCTTAACATTATTTACGTAACTCAACGATTTGAGCTCAATTCTTCAAATAAACAATCTTGAAAAATCCCGGTGAACATACTTCCTATGTATTTTCCGTTTTTAATAATAAACGAAACGAAAAATCACAATACAGTACAGTATTTGTAATAAAAAATGGACCACTGGTATAAATACAATTAGATTTCATTTACATTATGCCCGCAAATCTTGCAAATCAGGCGCGGGCGCGACGACCGTCTGACAGCTGTCAGCGACGCTTGTCAACTGTCAGCGTTGTAAATAAAAGGTACATTAAAGTAGTTTTAATTCAATCGAACTACATTAAATTCACTTGAGCGACGCACTCATTACGGCTTCATTTTGTTATAACAACAATAAAAAGGCGGTTTATTATTCCGCAAAGGTTGACAGCTTTTGTGTCGGAATCAATCTTGGTTTATTCATAATGATGAAAAATCCGTTCCAGTACGCAACAAAGGAGCTAATGTTTAAACCTCCTTTTTACATCGCTAATGTTCTCAGTGTTCTATTGTTGAAACTTGAAAGCTTTTCAGATTTATATGCCTTACATTAGGGGTAATCTGAAAATCATAACAGAATTTATTTTACAACTTCCTTTTTACTTATTTATTTGTGTAATTAATTTGTTTCGGCCTCAGATTTTTGAATCTGTATCATTGTAAGATCAGAAATCTGTACCTAAAACACGTCTTCGATTTTTGTATCTAAAACATCGATTTCCTACCGATGCTTTCCTTCGCCGTGCGAGTGAGTTTCCCTCTAAGAAAACTCCATTTTTTTACAGCCGTGATGCAAATGTACGACCTTAGGGTTGAGGGTCGCATATTCTAAAACTGCTCGTATTGTTGTTGGTAAAATACCTACGTGGTGGGTACCATCTCAACATTTTTAGCCATCGCTTCATGGATTAGGTACTTTTACCTTTATGTGCATCGAGCGGTAACTGTCATTGTTGGGGTTTGGGGTCGAAATGAAACCCAGGAATACGTATCAAAGAGTTGTCACCAAAAAGTAGTCTAGTATATTTTAAGTTCTACTTTGTATTAATATAGGTTATCGTTATGGATAGAGCTAGTGGCTTCAGCGTGCGACTTTCGTTGCGATCGTAGGTTCGATCCCCATCCACCAATAGACTTTCTATGTGTGCATTTAACACTCCCTCGTAAGGTGAAGTAAAACATCGTGAGGAATGGTGAACAAGGTAGGTGTGTGTCAGTCGCAGAAGGCGGATCACCGTCTTGCCTGTTGATAAACAAATGATCACGACACAGATACAGAAATATTATGTTTTTTGTTGAGTTATACCGTATTTTGTGTGTTAAAATTAAATTTACTATTTGAATTATTACAGCAAAACCACAAACAAGATTCGGAACAATGAACCAAATTTGACTTGTCAATCTTAAATAAACGACCTCATAAATAAAAACTATTATTTTGATTTATCGAAATGAAATCAATCAAAACTTTCCATTACGAAATGCGATTATAGGAGCCAATCAATATTTTATCACTTGCAATTATGTGCATTAAATCGACCATTTAATTACGATAGACAATTTTGTTCAAACGATTCGTTTTATTAATCGACACTTTAGTTTCGCGTGCAAACATTAAATAAATCGTTCACGACCAACATAAGCACTAACAATTTGGTTAATGGATTACAACTAACACGTACTTTTTCGCGAATTTTCTTAATCGAAATTTTTTAATATCGGTTAGTCGGGCTACGCTTTGAAACTGCTTTTTTATCATCTGGCTTGTGATTAGTATATACCATACATCTGGATTGTGATATATACGGCAACGATATTTTAAATTTTGCAAATATATTTATACAAAAGATATCAGTTGCAAGCCCTCCCTAATCCTTAACAAGGGCGGATCCAGGTTTCGCGTCAGGTGTTATGGTATTAGAACTTAGTAAAAACATTTGATTCATAAACACAAAAATCTTTCGTTTTACAAAAAGTGGGTGGAATATATCTTAACGGGCTTTAAAAACGAAAACGAAAGTAGAGTCAATTCAACGTATATTTTTTTTAAACTATCAGAAAATATATTCATCCAGTATCGCTGTCCAGGCCCCGGAAGGCTCATGAACACACCAACAATAATTCTACGTCTGCTTTCGTCCACTAAGGATGTAATGTAATAGATCTAGAAAATAATTCTAGATCTATTCGACTTCTTAACTAGTTATATAGTTTCAAATTACTACTTTTTTATATATTTTTTTTTTGTTTCAATTAAGGATTATATATTAGTATAATTATATATATAACAATGGTTCTTTTCCAGGGGCAGATATACTTAATGGCTTTTTGGACTACAACCCAGGGCCCCGTGGATATAAAGATCCCCAGTCCTCATTGAAAACAATAGGCGATATTTAGAATAAAATAAATTCCTGCAATTAAAAAAATCCAATCCTAATGTTAAAATCTCTGGGATCAATCAACTCATGTGCGATGCGCGTCTATCGAACGGAACGGGGAACTCCCCTTCGCTTGTTTTCGGTCGGTCTATATTTTATATGTATGTATGCATCTATTACGGGGGACTTCCCCGTTCGGTTCAAACAAAATCACGATCGGCCCATGTCCTTTTCTACGTGTATACCTCGGGCGAAGTAATAGAAAGTGTGTGAAAAATGAAATTTATCAGAGTCACTCAAGATTTAGGGAATTATTGTGAAATAAATTTTCTTTAAGGCCATTTTTTGCATAAAAGAAATTACATAAAACGAAGATTGTGAGGTTTTTATAAACTTGTTAGATTTTTCGCTTGAATAACGCGGTGCGTTAACATTTTGCTTTACAGTAAAAACTCCTTTAAACCGTTATTACCAAGTCCGTTGACTTACTAACATCATATTAAAAGGTGCTTAATAATAAGTGTAAACTATAACGATAAAGTTTGTTTTTGCGATTATCTCAGGAATAGCTGGTGTAAAAATAGTTTTTACTTTGCAAAGTTCATCAAACGAAAGTCAATATAAAATCCTGATATAAGCGGATTCTTGTAGATGAAACTTCGGGCCCAACTAGAACTGAAGTTCATCTTCAACAAAATATTTTTCGACACTCGTTTATAACTTGCTACATATATATATATTCCTACTAAGTAAACTATACCTATAGGTACAGTACGTACGTTTAAATAGCTTAAACTGCATCACACAAACCTGAAAGTAATGAGAATATTAATTGATTATTCAAAATAGAAATTCAGACTAACAAAAACAAACTTTGGTATTATCAAAAAAATGGACAATAATGAGAAAAAGATTTGTAATAAACGCAAGATCGTAATCCTATTTTCTAGTCGGTTAATGATACACGGATCAAAGTAACACCACAGATGATGCCACAAAAAACCAACAATACTGATGTGTCAAGTCCTACACTAGCCATTACAAACAGTAGAAAAAACGCATCCTAAATGCTTTACAAAAACTGACTCACACAAAACGGTACCGGTCGGCGGGCTCAAAGGCTTCACCGGACCATACGTGATCTAATGACAATTACTAATCGCACCTTTTTTTATTTTAATCTGATATTAGAAAAGTATATCGCGCTTTGAATTTCTGGCTCTAGTTCCCATGATCACTCTGCTGGCTCTGCGGCCCAAAATGTCTTACCCGATACGAGAAACTTCCACTTCTCCTCAGCCATTTCCCGCAAATTACTGGCCTTCAGTTTACTCCCGCTTTGGATATAATACATATCCATAATTCATTTCTTTTCAGCGTCTAAATCAACATGTTGAGCCTAAAAACGACTATGCGCGCTAGAATTAACAGAGATGATCCACGGATCTTCATATCTTTTGAATTGCAACTTTATCGGGCAAATTTCATCGAGAAGCCTTAATCTAAAAATTTATCAATAATAATTTAATTTGTATTTAATTATTTTTTAAATTTGTCGAAATCTGTGTCTGTACGTATATAGGCGACTCTAGAATCGCGAACGCAATAATAATAATAAATACTAGATGTATTTTAAACAGTGATCAAATTAGACCAGTGCCGATAATTTTTGAAACCAAAAAAAATTACAGTAGGATGAAACCCATTAGAAAAGCAGGGGAATATGATCAAAATAAAAGGAAAAATAAATTACGGTCGATCTGAGGTAGGGAAGGGTAGGGGGGAGTTTTAAGGGTAAAAAACGGTTTATCTCGATTTCCGGCAAAACTAAAAGTCCTATCGAAGAAAGTTAAATGGCAAAGTTGTAGGTAATAAAAAGATCTAAAACTCTTGTATTCACACATTTTTCACATAACCTCAAAATTTATGTGAAAAATTCAAAAAACCAAGTTTTTGGTTTTTAATTTTTATCTTTTACAAATTTCTTTTTTCTAACGAAATTTGGTGAAAACTTACCTTATTATGTCCCAAATATACTGTAATTTATTTGATTAAAAATATTTATTTTTTCACCTTATTTTGAATTAATATCGAAAAAACACCCTAATTTTCAATCGAAAATTCTGACGTCAAAACTTCCTATGAATCTTCTTTAAATTATAATTAGATGCCTATTTATTACTATTTTAAGATAACTTATATATACCTGAGTGACCTAAAAAAAATTTTTAGCCTTTAGATGGGCTACAATTTTCGTATTTCATAGAGAAGTAGGGAAGGGTATGACGGGTCTGGGCGTTACTGCATACGATGTTTTGCATTTTCTGAGAAGATTTACTATGGTAATATATATATATTTTTTTACCATAGGAAAGTAGAGATTTCAACGAACTGAAAGCACACCAACTTTTTGAAAAAAGCTGAAATTTTGACGTCAGAATTTTCGATTGAAAATTAGGGTGTTTTTTCGATATTAATTCAAAATAAGGTGAAGAAATAAATATTTTTAATCAAATAAATTACAGTATATTTGGGACATAATAAGGTAAGTTTTCACCAAATTTCGTTAAAAAAAAAAGTTTGTAAAAGATAAAAATTAAAAACCAAAAACTTGGTTTTTTGAATTTTTCACATAAATTTTGAGGTTATGTGAAAAATGTGTGAATACAAAAGTTTTAGATATTTTTATTACCTACAACTTTGCCATTTAACTTTCTTCGAAAGGACTTTTAGACTTGCCGGAAATCGAGATAAACCATTTTTTAACCTTAAAACTCCCCCCCCCCCTACCCCTTCCCGACCTCAGATCGACCGTAATTTATTTTTCCTTTCATTTTGATCATATTCCCCTGCTTTTCTAATGGGTTTCATCCTACTGTAATTTTTTTCACTTTTTATTTATTTTGAAGGCTATCTGCACTGGTCTAAATAGGCAGGAAACTCATCTAATTTATAGTGACACTACTGCTATAAAATACTAAGTTTTTGCAATTGCCTATAATAATTTTAATAACTTAGATGTTGTCTTAGGGATAATGTTATATTACATTATTAGCTTTACATTTTTATGAATTACAATGTTATATATTCAAAACGTGTCTAAGCAACACTTAAGAGTATTAATTATTAAAAAAAGGCTTATTTAAAAAACTACCTTACTAACAAAATTAAGGCCTATTTACACGAAGCAAGGATCTTGTTCTCAAGAACATTGAAGTTATAATAATTTAGTATTATTTATAACTTGTTATAAATAATTTATTATTATTTTAATTATTTTTCTATTAGAATAAAAATAAGCATTAAAATAATTTAACAAAATCAGAAATTGACATTTCGATACGTATTCCAATATTTATTACATAAAAATATACCTTACCAGATTAAAAGGTGTTAAATATCACAACTTTTCTATTTTATCCGTCATATACAATTTGAATTATACGAAACGTCCCAACAGGTTAATATTTGAAAACCAAAAAATAATTATAATACCTACATATAATTAGATTTTCTTTTAAACCTGCACTACAGGCATAAATATGACCAATAATATAATTACTAACTACCTATATTGTTAAGCTACATAAGGATCTGAATAGTTACCAAAGAAAAGCATTCACGATAATATTTAATCAAACCTAATCATAAAGTTAAAGTCGAGCACTCACCAATCTTGTATGTCAAGTTTCCAAATTGTGAGGGGCGGGCGGACAATACAATCACCGGAACTACACGGCGGGATGTCGTGATGTCACCGAGACCTTCATTCAAGACTATTCAATGACGTACATTCAATTATAGCCCTTATCACCGTTAATTCATTAAAAAACTTCATTGAAAAATGCTAAAAGCTCGCTAAGCACACTTTTCTTACAACTGAAGAATAATGAGTTAATATTTTCATTTCTTTTGAACGTCTACATTAAAATTAATTAGCCCTAATCGTTGTTGTTTGTACTGAAATTATATGCTTGTAACATATAATCATATATTAAATTAATTATATTTATTGTCTATGATTTTCCTCAAACCATGCGCTGTGCAAAAAAGCTTATGGTAAAATTCAGTACAGAGACTAACCGTGAACTTTCACTCCCGTCTGTCAATTGGTATTTGACATATCTGAGTCGTAGTAGTAATTAATGAAGATTATTAAAGTTTCCTGGTGAGATAATGACGCAAAGGTTATAAAACCTTATAACGGACTGTGAAGGGATGGACACAATGTGTTAATATTAATTTCCAAATTGGAGGTTACGAATGCTACAAAGGTGTTCAGGCAAAAACTTGGACAGAAGTGCTAAGAGACCGATTATTATTTAAGGTTTGTAATGATCCCTCTCAAACAGCTGCTTCAGCAAATATTTATTGTGGGATTGCGTTGTTTTTAAACATTATGCAGGTGTTACCTTAGAAGATACCATTATTAACTTGATGATAGGTGAAAACAATCGTTATTTTTTTCTACATTTTCTTGGAAATATTTTAAATCTTACGTGTATTTATTTTTCTGTAAATTATATTAAGATTATTATGCTTTTTTAACTGGTCATATTCAACATATGCCCCGTAAATTAGCACGTATTTAAAATGTAAATCAGTTCTATTATTTTTCTTAACTTAAACTGTAGATCTGTCTCTTTCTATCACAGCGCAAACAATATAAGAGAAAGAGACGATTGATGATATATTAAAAGAAAGCCCAGTGGGTAATGCTTCGCCGTCATAGCTTAAATTGGACTAGGCAGATCCTATGTCTATTCCCGTTGAAAAAAATAATTGTTTTTTGTGAAAGGCAGAAGGTTTGTAGATATAGAAATATATTTACTCTTTTTATTTTATATCAATTTGAAAAGTCCACAAATAAGACCAAACAAAGAATATATTAGATACTATCTATTCAATTATTACAAAAATTAAAGGCTGTTTCTTAGATGCCGACAGCGTGTGTGTTAAGACACATTAGTAATTTCGACAAAATCTGTCTTGCCGTTGGAGGCGCCTGGAAATATATACCTAATTTGATTTGAAAAATCCAACGAAAAAGGAAATCGACTAACACATAGGTATACTCGTATAGTATGCATCATAATAATGATACTCTTTTAGCTAATCTATCGTGAACTTATTTAATGTCAAAACGCTAAAAATTAAAATTTTTACAGACGAGTTCAAAGTTCGCGCGAACTTAAACGTCCGAATGAGCACAGAGACTATAATATATAGAGAGGTTATAATCTTTGTTACTCAAAAAAGGTACTACAAAGAGGTTGTATAAGTGTTGCAATTGGCAAAATATTTGCCTGTTATAGGTATCTTCGGACAATACACCCATTAATAATTTCGTTTAGCATTGTTGCAAGTGATTTACGTTCCGTGGATATCGCTTTGATTTATAGCACTCTAATGGATCCTGTTACTATGTTAAGATGATGATTGTTTATACTGTTACGTATCAATAGATAATATAATAATAATATGTGTATGTACAATAAACTGCCGTGTAGATTATAGATGCTAAATTAATTAATTCTAACATATTACCTATTTGTTTAGGATTTTTTTTATTTATTTATTTTACAGAATAATATAATAAAAATCATAATAAGTTACATTAGTAAACCGCTGTGGTTTGTATAAATGTTACCATAGCAGTCTTGTTTAGGCGCGCGACAATATTAAATGTACATAAAAGTAGTTCTTCAACTTACTTTTTATGTTGGTTTACGTTAGGCCATCTAATAATTGACCGTTAACGCATTGGTTTAACAAAAAATATCTAGTCAGTAAAAATTTTGTTTATAGTGACCATTATTGTAAAACGACGATTGTGATAGTATATGCGGTAACCATTTAGGGAATAATTATTTGTACACTTGCTACGTACTAATGTGTCGAATAACGTTACAATAACTTGGCGTCAAATACTTTTTCAAGTGAGGTATTTGCACAGGTCCCTATAGCTTATTTAAAGCATGCAATACACCACTCTGAAAAAACTTACTACTATTCGTAAGCAAAATTGTCATATATTCTTCACGTTCTTCCGTTCCAAATGTCAGTGTTTTCCAAGTATATAAGTTGTTGACCTTATCATACAAACCTGGTATACCTATAAAGAAGTACTGGTTTATTAATTTATATACCGAAACCACGTAAGAACGTTAATATTTATACCTACCTTGGATTAAACGTAATACTTTCTTTAGTTGGCTAGAATTACAGAATATTAGAATACAGACGTATCTTAGTTTGAGGACTATATGGTTCCAAATATGTATTGTTAAGTAAAAAGTTACTTTTTTGTATCACAGGCTATCCAAACTTTAAGTCTAATATAGTTTTGTTCATGCTATTAATCCAATATGCAGTCTTTTAGATAAATGGCTTGTTCGACGTATTTAACTGTACTACTGTAAATCCTACTTAAAAAATTTATGAGACAAAACAGGGTCTGCAAAGTTGACGCAGTGTATAATTTGGCTAACAGGGGAATAAGTGGTAATGGGCTGGACGTACCGTAAGACGTTAGCGGATACATGGAGCGTTGAATTTTTGTAAACACCTATGGCAACAAAGAGGTCCTCATAGTTAGCAACAGAGCTAGGCAATGTTGGCACAAGTCCGATCAAATTTAGTGATTACATGTATGGTCTTTGAAAACTATTTTCCGTAAACCTGGACTATTATCTTGGTACACCATAATTTTGTAAATTATGGAGCGACAATAAAACGGCCCTTTGCGCTTGATACATCGACAGAATCAGTTATGTATATGGTACCAAATCCGTACCCCCCCGATTTAAGAAAAATATAATAACTAAAATTGGAAGTGTAATATATTTTTGTATTTTTCTCCATTATGTCATGTCTTTTAGAATAAATAACTTGTAACATATACTGTATAAAAGCATTATACATGATGTCAGATGTGGTGAACTTAAATAAATAAATAAGACACTTCTATTCGTTCTTTTATGTCTATAGCCTCTGTATTGTATAAATAAATGCCTCAAATCGAATTGTGAAACTCGATATCCCTAAAATAGGCGACAAATTTTTCTATTAAAGTATTTTTTACAAGCATTAATCTAATCAGGACCAGATGACTCGACAATTGTTCAAGTAGATGCAATATCACGAGCTATTAGTTCATAAACATGGGTCGTCGCGCCACGTTAGACCGTGAAAAGACCACCTCCAAGATAACTTTTTACTAATCGGAATTTACTTTTGTACCCTTCGCCCCCCACGAAGGATTAGGTAGCCCGTGTAATACTCCAACGCTCCTAAAGAGCGTAATAATCTGATTAAACTACCACCCAACCTTAGAATAAAACCAATCTTATAATGATACTTTTAATACACTTAACAATATAACAATATTTACAACAATGAAACTAACACGTTTCAATTTATAAGCAGAAATAAATAACGTATAAATGCACTAACATTTAAAACATTGGACTAAATCCATCTTACATTAAATTATTTACATTTACTTAATAAATATATAACACTAGCTGTTCATCTACTATTTAAGATTTATTGAGATCACTAATTTATCTGAATTTGAGGTGAATGGGTTATTTAAATAGGCCTCGCGACGTCACAGAATGCGAATAAAACTGTAAAAATTAAATAAGTAACATTTAAAGCTACATGTTAAAATTGGGAGTAATAGTATATCTACGCTACATTTAACGTTATAAATGACTTTCTAATTTCGATATCGATGTCTATATATGCTCTACTTACAACCTAGAATTGCACATGTTGTAACAGTTCACAATGTCCCTCTGATGTCACGCGACTGGGAGCACTGGCGGTGGAAGGTAACACGGCCGCAAAGCATGAGCAGCCGCCTGCAAGAGCTCTGCCTGATACCGATGCGCCGCTAGCATATACGGCGATGGAATGGATAAGTCAATTCTCGGTAACGCCATATGCACTGGCATTGAAAACGGTTGAGGTGGAGATGGAGATGATCGAGGCGGCTCTGGTTCCAGTAAAGCTTCTATTGTGAACGCTCGTCGTGGTCTTTCTCTGGGTAGAACTGTGACCGCAGTAACCTCTGCTAGTTCAGCTGGTTCGGGACTCATTTGTGAACACATTGTAGGTGTATACAAACTCGCGGTGGGTAAAGCCGTCGGCGAGGGGCCCGCATTAGCCTGGCGAGCCAAAAATGCACGGTTAAAAGTTGCCAGCGCTGCTAGTTCTGCGTTCAAATTATCCTTTTCACCTTTCTGTAACTTAAACCTCTTGCGACGGCGCAGTAATGAACCATTTTCAAACATATCAAATGCTTGCGGGTGTAAAGTCCAATAGGCGCCTTTGCCGGGCCTGTCAGGCCGACGCGGCACCTTCACGAAGCAATCGTTGAAAGATAGATTATGTCGCAGCGAATTCTGCCATCTCTGTGTGTTTCTTCGATAATAGGGGAATCGGTCCATTATGAAGCGGTATATCTCGGATAGCGGCAGCATTCGCTCTGGTGAACTCCATATGGCCATTGCTGTTAGTGATATATACGAATACGGTGGTTTTTGGTCACCATACGATTCCCGGGAAGGTCGTGGCATCGTCACTTCCACTAAGAACCGGCGATTAAAATATTTCCAAAATAATTATCTGATACCGGCGCGTCGAGAATTCACGTCACTTCTATGCGAGGTGTGAAAAACAACTGAGGTGCGGAGAGCAGTAGAACTCGACACTCGACCCGCCCGCCTTGTTGGGGTCCAGAGACCGGAGAATACGGGCTTCTGATTGGTTGAACACTCAGCCAATAAGAGCCATCGGCGTTCAGGTATGATGTCGGCTAACTAACAAGGAATTTAAATTGATATTATGTTTATATTGCCTCCAAACATCCTTTGTGATGACACCGCTTTTTATTTAGCGTATGTAAATTACAATGATACAGAAAAAGAGATTTGAATTATGCACCAATTCAACGATGAATGTATGTCATTACGTATCAACGAAACAAATTACATGCAAAGATATATGGCTGAATAATTTATTTATCATGGAGATAAAGACTTAACGGCAAAATAGAAAGCTAAGAAATGATTGGCAGTAAATATTTGTACATTCGACAAAAAGCCTATTAAATAAGTAGCAATTGTTGTCAACAAAAACAAAATCTTGTAAAAAGTAAAAAATGGGTTTTTTTTTTACTTGCTAGAGTAGAGTACCAACCATCTCAGTGATTCTGAAGAGGTAATTGACCTGCGAACGATAAAAAATCTTTAAAATGGATTAATAGAAATGTCACAATTTTTTGGCAGTTTCTACTTTTGTGGACAAAAAACGATTTACGTGATTAAACTCTCAAACTCTCTGATATCTTAAAGTTACGAACGTAGCATAAAAATAGTTTGTTTCTTCAAGGGTGTAACTACAAATATTTAGTAGTAAATTCCTGCAAAACATCAGAACAAACTCACCGTGTTTCCAAAGATGACTAGAAAAATGCCATTATGCATTAACATAAGTATATTTAGGTGTAAATAATAACGAGTAATATTTTTTTCTATTAAGTCTACAAATACCATCAAATGACAATATTATATTTATTAGATACATAGAAAAATTTCAATAAAACTACTTATTAATATGAGCTTTCTAGAATGCTCATAAGTCTAACTAAGATTGCTCGTGGTAATATGGAAACTAATATAGTAATAGATATAGATAACAATAAAATAATTTTTGAAATACAAATTCTATTAAATTAATTAAAAATAAATTAAAAAAAAATTAATCGACAACGACCAAATACTCAACCATGGACGCATTTCTTCTTTACGCCACGATGCGCAAGCGAGCTGTAGCCTGTATCTCTGGTAAGTCGCGTGCGTCTCTAACAGCATGCTGGGGGTAATAGCGGGAAGGATAGATTGCCCTTACATGGGTGATTGCAATGGACTGCATGTGCCCTTTTTAATGTAATGATTTAAAATACTCTAAGCTAACCTACTAATATATAATACTTAGAATAATATTAAAACTAATACAATAATAACCATATAAATATGGACGTATATTTGACTGATTGAATAAATAAATTATTCTTATTATTTCTACATATCATGGATAACGAAATGAACCCTAAATGTTGTGCAATGTTATTTTTAATTCGGCATTTATCGATTTCCATTTTTTGTTAAAAGCTGAGTTAATATTATTGAATACAACAATTTTAATATGTAAAAATTTCTTGCATTGCGGATCTAGAGTTATTTTCGGGTGTCCAGTCTAGAATTTTGAATCAGTAACCCGACATACTTTCACTAGTCTCTAATCTTGGAAATTCGATAAACCAAAAATATTAAACACGTATTACTAATTTTCTTCGTAAAGCCAAAAAAAGAGAAGTTTATAATTGGAAATAAAATTATATCGATACAAATATCTCAGTCGATTTTTATTTTACAAACTATACGCCTTAACAAAGTTTCTATTGTACACGAAATAGGACTTTATTATCTTAATATAGAGTGCACTTTGGTGTTGTAGTTTGTAACTTAGGTCGTTTTAGTTCATGACACGTGTTAGTATGCGCATAGCACGAGTGCTGCGAATTCGTCACGGATGCTTATCGAACGGGCACTCGATAAAGGCGGCATGTCGATGTTTTATTATTAGAGGGAAGCACTCAGTAATCACCGACTCCACAAGATCTCATGGGATTCATTACACTAGATGTTTATCTTTGTATCTGAGGCGGTAATTGAAAATCCCATGCAATTATGGCCTATGAAAAGATTTGGAATACGTTTACTAATTAGATAACTTTCAATTACCTAATTTACGAGTATACTACACTTAATAGTAATAAATCTACCTTCATTTATTACAATTTCATGCAATAATACTAAGCGGTCATTTAATAGTGACAAAAGGTAATTTGTTAAAACTTCATTAAGTTAACAATGTTAATACATAAACTATTTCCATGAAAGCAGTAACATAAGTGTAGGTTCCTAGAAATTCGAGTTAAGTGTACCGAGTATCAATGTTTGTCAAAAAAGGCCACTTAAAAAGTGACGTAAAGTTGTTTCGTTAAGACAATGTGTCATAATTATCGGATGAAATTGAAAACGTCATGTAAACGTCGACGTCACGGTTCCTATGACAGCACTTGGCCATTACTGGCAATGCTGAAGACATTTCCGATAATTAATTCTAAGCACCATCTCGAACTTTAAAAAGCTCTCAGGGTGCGTCCGTCATTACTTGCATATTTTTTTGTTAACGAAAATTTTTTCGCGCGCCCTCGCGACTTGGCCAGAGGGTGATTTATGATAAAAGTTATAAGCGGCGTTTTTAATATCAACGAGCCTTTTAAGCCTGAGCCCTTTGTAGATGCCGCGAGCCAGATAACCTAATTAACAGAGCTTATAACATCAATTTTTGTATATGGAAAGGAAAGCTCCTAAAAATAAGAGACTGTAGAATAGTGAACAGGAGTTTGTTCACTATTCTACAGTCTCTTAGCTACTTTAATTAACTAACACCTCAATAATTAATATACAGTATATGTACCTACCTACTACAAATCTTATTCATACAACTAAATGAGTCTTACCTCATTATGCGGAAATTAATAAATGGCAAAAATACAAGTCTTTCCTCCAACATTGATTTTTTATGTATAGGAGCTCTTGGGCCGTGGGTTTCAAGTGCTAATGGAATATTTAAATTGGGGTCTGGAAGATAATACTGGTGACCGTAGAGCTGGTGCTTTCCTCGACCAACGAAAAGGTATTGCGACAGCGGAGAAATTCTGCATTAAAGATGAATTGCAGGGATCTTTTAAATTTATCTTAATTGTGTAGGTTAATACTGTAAATAATTTAATAGTAATATCGTAAAAATCGAACAGGGAAGTGTAAGCACAACTCGACAGGAGATGATGGATTAATTAAATGTGTAAATAACATTTACTTATTTATATCAAGTAGAATCATTTATTCTTTGTGCAAAACAATCATTACACCGAACATTTAAAAATTTTATTTTTATTTATTTTCCGACTGCTTATTTGAGAATTGAGCAGTGTTGGCCTAGTGGCTATAGCGTACGACTCTCATCCCTCAGGTCGTAGGTTCGATTCCCGGCTGTGCACCAATGGACTTTCTTTCTATGTGCGCATTTAACATTCGCTCGAACGGTGAAGGAAACATCGTGAGGAAACCGACATGTCTTAGACCCAAAAAATCGACGGCGTGTGTCAGGCACAGATCACCTACTTGCGTATTAGATTGAAAAATTATCAGGAAACAGATTCAGAAGTCTGAGGCCCAGACCTAAAGAGATTGTAGCGCCACTAATTTATTTTAATACTGTTATTTATGTGAAATTAAAGTTCATTATATAATTAACAATGTAACAATACAAAAAAAACTGAATTAACAAAGTTACTAAAACCAATAAAAGCTACGAAAGTCAAATTTCAATCAAATTAAAAAATAAACAAACATCTTGCCATGATTTACAGAACAGCCGGGGATCGCGTGCAATGTAATGTTAGTTTTGCTTCAGGCAACGACTGTGCAAACGAAGTCACGTCAAGCCGTACCAATCACTGCGTCCGGACTCTGCTATCGATCCTACTGGACTACAAAATACACACGAACACTTTTTAGAACCCAGCTGGTAAGACAAATCTTCATAGTAAGCCAAGTAACAGTTTTCTGTTGATTAAAATGTACATTTACCTAACATATTAAAAAATTACTCGATAGAATAGAATAGTTATGGTACCCCGTACCAGATCGTACATAAGACATGTATTTGAAAAGATGGCAATTTTGACAGAAAATAAGCATTTTATTATTTATTTAGTAGTTATATTGGTTTCTGCCGGAGGTCTAAAAAACAAGTTTTGTAAACTAATTAATTTATTATAAATAAAACGGATAATTTAATTACAAAGTGCGGTAGCTCGATGCTGCGAACGTTTGCTTTCTTACAAGTCTAATTTATATCTATATTCTAAGTTACTTATGCTAAAGTATCCTACGGTCTTCATTACGCCGAGTACGCACAACTTGACACCGTGGAACCACTGGTAGGTACTTAGTATTACTAGGGCTACAGGTTACAGAGTTTCAGAATGTATACTAGAATACAATAAAATTAAAACTATTTCCTCAGAACAATTCGATTAGTAGGTTATTACGAGAGTAGGTGTGATGATATTTCACCATGCCTCCTGCTGATAGAGGACAAATCTTTGTTTTTTATTTATTTTATTATGATTAATTAACTATTGATTACTTAAGATGTCATGTGGAACATGGTGTAATTGTTGCAGCTCCTTACAAACATTGTGTAAAACAAAAAAGAGTGGCGGAGAGTTTATTGCCAGTTCTTCTCTTCCGTTCTACGCCCTTGATTTGAGAACTGGCAGTAAATGTAAAATTAATATACGAAGCATTTAATATACGAGTATATTTCTTTTTTGACATTCATAAGTTTACATTGTGTTACCTATATGAATAAATGATTTTGACTTGACTTGATGGCAGGTGAAGTCGGGATCCCCTACCCGTTGGTTTGACCTAATTAA